CTACGTGGACGCCGACTGGAGAAACTGTCCCGACGATAGAAGGCAGTTTCTTGGAAATCAAGAAAGCAAAGAACCGTGGCCTTCTCATCCGTGAAAGCCAAATATAAAGGACTAAGCGATGCCATGAAAAAGGCAATTTATTTGCGACGTTTTCTTTCAGACCTAGATTTCTCCGGATTACGGAGCGTCACACTGCACTGTAACAATCAAGGCGTGATTAAGCTCGCAAGAAATCCGGTATTTCATAGTCGCACTAAACACATCGATATAAGGCATCGTTTCGTCCGCGATTCCTTGCGAAATGAGGAGATCGATCTGAGGTACGTCTCTACCGAGAAAATGGTTGCTGATGTGCCGAGTAGGTATTTCGACCCGTCTCGAGGGGAAATGTTGCAAATGTGACCTTAAAATCTGCAGCCCCATGACTATTTGCGATACGTGACTTAAGGCGTCCATCATTGAAAGATGATCGACGAGCGAACGTTTCTTTTTGAATAGTAATGATGTGATAAGTCTTGGATAATATTTGAAAATGTTAATGTAGAATAATTCGTATACTTTGCCCTTATGTAAACTTTAAATAATAAGGATATAAATAAAAAATACGGTCTTAGGAACAACATATGAAAAACATAGAATATTTTGATTTTTATCAAAATTGATTTAAATTGCTATGCAGAAAACAAGCATTCCCCGGTAATAAATGCGTTCTTGTACATTAACTGTATTATCAGGAGTAGAAAACGAACGTTCGCTGGTTGTTCGAGTTGCAGGTATGGCAAATATATATTTTATTGTATTACAAAATCTATATTGAAGAGAAAAGAAAAAGCACTAGCTTAATATTATATATTATTAATAATTTTGTAATTATTTCTAGCTACATGCACAAGAGCGCGTTCGTTACCGGAGAATGTTGAGCAATTATGTTTTCTGCATAGTAAGGTAAATCGATTTTAATAAAAATCAAACTGTTTTATGTTTTTCATATGTTTTTCTTGAGACTATTTTTTATTTATATTCTTCTTATTCAAAATTTACATAGGAACAAAGTAAGCGAACTATTCTATATAATCATTTTCAAATATTATCAACGACTTGTCATAACATTACTGTTCCGTTTTCTTTTTATATTTTCAATATGTAGTTTACAATTGGGCCCTGAACCTATCGCGTGCAACACTTGTAGGTTATGGAGCGTTATTCGAAGTCACTCAAGCCATTTACATATCCCATTCATGCGTAGAGTCCGAGACCGTCCAAGTCCATCCGAAATTCGAGCCTGGTCCTGCAACTTTCGGGACTAGAAACACTTAGAATCTGGAGATTTCGAACAATGAAATGTATCAGGATCCCGCCCGAATTTCTCCGACCCGTCCGGGTCCCGTAAGATCGGATACCCGCCCATGCATGGTCTTTTTAAACAACATAAGGCAAAACAAAAAACCTATTAATAAGATCCGTTTTCGAGATTCCTCGTGATACGCATGGGCAGAGTTCGACATTGTCCCGCTAATCTTACAGTTATCCTAGTTCCGAGATGTACCGCCCCCTTATAATAGTCGCAAATTAGAAATAAAAATGCCTAGCTTATACTAAAATACCTATCCAGCCATTTGCTTGACTTTTCTAAACGCTCAAGCAAATGTTTAGTATTGGACAAGCAATAATTAAAAAATGAATAATTAATGAGCGAAGGGATAGATAGAATGTTTTCTAGTAATGTTGAGTAACACAATATACAAAAAATTCCACTTTTTGCCATTAATTGGGATGAACACATGAGGGTTGTGTTCAGTCGCTTGTTGGGTTGTCCACACTTGGACTTTGAATCCTCATGCAAAAGGCAATCATAATGGCACCTAGCAATAGTTGGCAAGTCGACAGTCGATAAGCAAAAAAATTAGTTTAGGAACATGAAGTAAGAAATGGACGTTGTACTACTCTATGAAATATGACATTTATGACAGAAATGAATCAATGAAATGCAGAATGGTGAAGATGTCAGTCGAATTTAACAACATTATTATATTGTTTCCTACTTTCTAGAATTATTAAAAAAAAAATCTATTTTTATTTAACTCCTTTTTCTTACTTTGCAGGAAGTTTATATTTTGCATAAAGATATGCAATCTTTGGAGTATCTCATACTTCCAATATTATTGATGGAAAGGAATGTAGTAATTCTGCTATCATATAGTTTAATCCTCTCATAAATACTTTGGTTTGTTTA